AGACAAAAAGCCATAGACTGAATTTATTTGCAATGATGATGGAGATAATTCACAATACCTTAATTTTCTTTTTTTCTTTTTCTTTTTTTTTTTTTGAGACAGAGTCTCGCTCTGTCCCCACAGGCTGGAGTGCAGTGGGGTGATCTGGCTACTGTCCACCTCTGCCTCCTGGGTTGAAGCAATTCTCCTTCCTCAGTCTCCCGAGTAGCTGGGATTTCAGGCGTGCACCATGCCCAGTTAATTTGTGTATTTTTAGTAGAGATGCGGTTTCACCATGTTGGCCAGGCTGGTCTTGAACTCCTGACTTCAGGTGATCTGCCTGCCTTGACCTTCCAGAGTGCTGGGACTACAGGCGTGAGCCCCTGCACCCTGCCTGTGTGTGTGTGTGTGTGTGTGTGTGAGAAAAACAGAGTCTTGCTCTGTCACTTAGACTGGAGTGCAGTGGTACGATCATGGCTCACTGCAACCTTGACCTCCCTCCCTGGCTCAAGTGATCCTCCCACCTCAGGCTCCATAGTAGCTGGGACGAGAAGTGCATGCCACCAGGCCCAGCTAACTTTATTTTTTTTAGAGATAAGGTCTCACTGTGCTGCTCAGGCTGGTCTTGAACTCCTGGGCTCTTGGAATCTTCCTTTCTTGGCTCCCAAAGTAATGGGATTACAGGCATGAGTGACCTTGCTCAGCCTGATTTCTCTTGTTCTTCTAGTGAAGCCAAACCAAGAAGAACTCTATTTTGAATAATGAGAAATTGAGATTTGTAAAGAATATTCTGACAGTGGTTGAGAAATTACAATTTTTTTTCCCTGAACATCTTAAAAATTAGAATAATTTAAAAACTCTGTATTGGCCGGGCACGGTGCCTCTTGTCTGTAATCCCAGCACTTTGGGATGCTGAGGTGGATGGATCACGAGGTCGGGAGTTCGAGTCCAACCTGGCCAATATGGTGAAACACCCCCCCGTCTCTACTAAAAATACAAAAAAACCAGCCAGGCGTGTTGGCACACGCCTGTAGTCCCAGCTACTTGGGAGGCTGAGGTGGGAGAATCTCTTGGACCCAGGAGGCAGAGGTTGCAGTGAGCCGAGATTGCACCACTGTACTCCAGCCTGGGCAATAGAGGGAGACTCTGTCTCAAAAAAAAAAAAAAAAATCTATATTACATTGTGACTCAAAGAGTTTTCTGGTAATGAGCTTTGTTCCTAGGATGGAAAAATCTGAGTGCACATTATAATAATGTTGCATGTTTATCTGTCTGAAACTTTATTAACAGAAAGTTTCAGATGATCATTTTACACTCCATTGACTACCCCAGTTCTGGTTGATGTGGTACAAACTAACCTATATTGTATTGTATTCTGTCTGATTTACAAGAGATTAAAACGATAAAAATTGGCAGGAGTCAATAGCCGTTGAGATTTATGTTCTTATATTTTGACTAAATGACATTCTTTTATGGAAAGTATTTAAAATTTCACACAAGGGGCAACAGTATTCTTTAAAAAGATACATTACAAGAGATAGATCTTTGTGGTCTAGGAAATATTCAGGGAAAGCACCAATGTTTTCCTTTATAACTACTTGTCATAAAAATAGAGAAGATTCCCTGTGGTTAAGGTTCTCAGATCTTTTTCAACCGTCTGATATTGTGAAGGAATAGAGAAAGACCTATGTGGCCTGATTTTATTTGTAGACATGAGTTAGTCTGTTATACTATAGATGTCTTATTTTTTCTGAGGATGTGCATGGCACAATTTTTTTTTTTTGAGAGAGAGTCTTGCCCTGTCACCCAGGCTGGAATGCAATGGCACGATCTCGGATTACTGCAGCCTTGACCTCCCCAGTTCAAGTGATTCTCATGTCTCACAATAGCTGGAACTACAGGCACATGCCACCATGCCCAGCTAATTTGTTTGTTTGTTTGTTTGTTTATTTGTTTTTGAGATGGAGTCTCACTCTGTCGCCCAGGCTGGAGTGTAGTGGCACCATCTCGGCTCACTACAAGCTCCGCCTCCCGAGTTAACGCCGTTCTCCTGCCTCAACCTCCCTAGTAGCTGGGACTACAGGCGCCTGCCACCGTGCCCAGCTAATATTTTTTTGTATTTTTAGTAGAGACGGGCTTTCACCGTGGTCTCAATCTCCTGACCTCGTGATCCGCCTACCTCGGCCTCCCAAAGTGCTGGAATTATAGGCATGAGCCACCAAGCCCGGCCCAATTTTTGTATTTTAATAGAGACGAGGTTTCACCATGTTGGCCAGATTGGTCTTGAACTCCTGGGCTCAACTGATCGGCCTGCCTTGGCTGCCCGAAGTGTTGGGATTATGGGCGTGAGCCACCACATCCGGCTCTTGGCACAAAATTTGTCTATCACTTATTAATAAATTGAGATAGGCAAAAAATTGTATCTGGGCCATACGTGGTAGGAGGCGAGGCAAGAGGATCACTTGGGGAGGTCCAGAAGTTTGTGACTAGCCTGGGCAATATGGCGAGACCCTGTCTCTACAAAAAATTTTAAAAATCAGCTGGGTGTGGTGGTATGTGCCGTGGTCCCAGTTTCTTAGGAGGCTAAGCTGGAACTGTTGCTTGAGCATGGGAAATTGAGGCTGCAGTGAGCCATGATTGTGTCATTGCATTCCAGCCTGGGCAACAAAGTGAGTCCCTATCTCAAAAAAAACAGGATTGAAAACTGACTTTTCTGATCTATTCCTGGAAAGCTATCTTTTTACAAAATCCCACTGACTACTATAATTTGCTGATTATTATGAGAGGCTTCTGCCACCGTGTGGCTTAATAATTCTGAAATAGTTGCTTGGACCCTTTCTCCTTAGATATTTAGTTTGATATCTATTTTGGCTGGTCAGAGAGGCTTGCTGTCTGCTTTGAAGTGAACAGAATGATTCAGTATATTTTTCATTAGTTTTGACTTACAGCTTAGCTATATTTCTATTTTTTTTGTAAATATCTTCAACAATTTATATTTCTTACAGGCAAAGCATTCTAAAATACTGTTTCTTTTTGCCAAGGTTTTTGTACCTCTTTAGCAATAGAATAGTATTAAATTGTTGAGCTCTTCTTGTTTGTTATTTAAATCTTTGCTAAAATGTAGAGTAAATTCAGTGAACTCCATGAGTTGCAGTGATACTTTGTGAATTTAAGATGATTACTTCCTGCATTTTATTTCTATTTTTAAATTTTTTATATTTTGAGACAGAGCCTCCCTTTGTTGCCCAGGGTGGAGTGCAATGGCATGGTGATGGCTTACTGTAGCTTTGACTTCCTGGGCTCAAATGATGCTCCCACCTCAGGACCGCCCGTCACCATCTGCCCCCAAGTAGCTGGAACCACACACATATACCACCATGCCCAGCTAATTCTTTTTGAGACAGAGTCTTGATGTCACCCAGACCGGAGTGTAGTCATGCAATCTCGGCTCACTGCATCCTCCCCCTCCTAGGCTTAAGCAATTCTCCTGCCTCAGCCTCTCGAGTAGCTGGGATTACAAGGCACACAACACCACACCTGGTTAATTTTTTTTTTTTTTTTTTTGAGATGGAGTCTTTGTCTGTTCGGCTGGAGTGCAGTGGTGTGATCTCAGCTCACTGCAACCTCTGCCCCTGGGGTTCAAGCAGTTCTGCCTTAGCCTCCTGAGTAGCTGAGAGTACAGGTGCACACCGCCACGCCTGGCTAAATTTTGTATTTTATTAGAGACTGGGTTTCACTGTGTTGCCCAGGCTGGTCTCTAACTCCTGAGTTCAGGCAGTCTCCCCACCTCGGCCTCCCAAAGTGCTAGCTAGGATTATAGGCGTGAGCCACCGTGCCTGGCCAATTTTTGTGTTTTTAGTAGAGACGGTTTCACCAGGCTGAGCAGGCGGATCTTCAACTCTTGACCTCAAGTGATCTGCCCGCCTCAGCCTCTCAAAGTGCTAGGATTACAGTCGTGAGCACTGTGCCTGTTCTAATTTTTTTTTTTTGAGACAAGAGTTTCGCACTGTCGCCTGGGCTGGAGTGCAATGGCATGATCTTGGCTCACTGGAACCTCTGCCTCCCAGATTCAAGCAATTCTCCTGCCTCAGCCTCCTGAGTAGCTGGGATTACAGGCACTTGCTACCATACCCGGCTAATTTTTTGTAGTTTTAGTAGAGATGGGGTTTCCCTATGTTGGCCGGTCTGGTCTCGAACTCTTTACCTCATGATCTGCCTGCCTCAGCCTCCCAAAGTGCTGGGATTACAGGCGCAAGCCACCGTGCTCAGCCTATTTTTTTTTTTTTTTTTTTTAATTCTTTGTAGTGATAGGGTCTCACTGTGTTTTCCAGGGTGGTCTCAAACTCCTGGCCTCAAGCAGTGCTCGTGCCTCAGCCTCCCAAAGTGCTGGGATCACAGGGGTGAGCCACCATGCTGAGGTGAATTTTATTTCATCTTGATAAAAATCTGAATAAAATCTTAGGAACGATATATTAAGAGTTTGATGAAGGGAACTGCAAGTAATATCACAAATAAAATGATAGTTTCTTTAATATACTATAGATTTCTTTTTATAAAATTTATCTCAGCTGGGCACGGTGGCCCACGCCTGTAATCCCAGCATTTTGGGAGGCCGAGGCGGGTGGATTAATTGGGACCAGGAGTTCAAGAGCAGCCTGGCAAACATGGTGAAACCCCATTTCTACTAAAAATACAAAAATTAGTTGGGCGTGGTGGCATGTGCCTGTAATCCCAGCTACTTGGGAAGCTGAGGTAGGAGAATTGCTTGAACCTGGGAGGCAGAGGTTGTAGTGAGCCAAGATCACACCACTTCATTCCAGCCTGGGTGACAGTGATACTCTGTCTCAAAAAAAAAAAAAAAAGTATCTTTAGTTGTGGTAAATTATATTTTTTAATGTTACAGGTCTTTTTCCTTAAAAATGAGATGTAATCTTTTAGTAACCAGGCATTATGATCTTTGAAAATTTTTATTTACATATCTTTAATTGTAATTTTGTCATCTCTTCCCCTTTATTGTTTAGTCCAAAAGAAACTCTTCCTTCAAAACCTGTGAAGAAAGAGAAGGAACAGAGGACGCGTCACCTACTCACAGACCTCCCTCTCCCTCCAGAGCTCCCTGGTGGAGATCTGTCTCCCCCAGACTCTCCAGAACCAAAGGCAATCACACCACCTCAGCAACCATATAAAAAGAGACCAAAGTAAGTTTTTGGAGGAATCTATCTTTCATGATAGTTTTCTCCCTTCCTTTTGAACTAAATCTCTCATGTTTCTTCTATAACCTATACCAGTAAGATCATAGAAGTTTGGTCCCAAAGTATACCTTTTATTTTATTTTAGTGGACAAAAGCCTTCCTTGGAGACCCAGGTCATTCATCTGTGCCCTCAGATACCCAACTCTGTTTTTAGAACAACAGAAAATTCCCAAATCCAGATATACTATGAACATTTATGTCATTATGTCTTTTTTATTCATAATATTTAGAGTACTGAGGAAGAATAAAAGCTTTTTAAATTCAGGATGTGTCAATCATGTACACATTAATGAAAAATTAATAGATGTGGGATTTTTTTTCTGAAAGCATATAAATTGTCATGCCATAAATAGAGTATAATCTGGGTCTAATCTTCTGATTGTTAGCATTTCTCTCTTAATAATAAAAATAGTTATTTATTGAGCACGTATTATTGTCATAGTTTATATATATATATATTTTTGAGACGGAGTTGCGTTCTTTGTTGCCCAGGCTGGAATGCAGTGGTGCTGTCTCTGCTCATCACAACCTCTGCCTCCCTGGTTCAAGCGATTCTCCTGCCTCAGCCTCCCGAATAGCTGGGATTATGGGCACATGCCACCACACCAGGCTAATTTTTGTGTTTTTAGTAGAGTTGGGGATTTCACCATGTTGGCCAGGCTGGTCTCGAACTCCTGACCTCAGGTGATCCACCGCCTTGGCCTCCCAAAGTGCTGGGATTATAGGCATGAGCCGCCGTGTCTGGCCTTATATTTTCATAGTAGCCTTAGCATGTAGCGATTAATTTCCCATTTTATAGTTGAAGCCATACCTGAGAGAGGTGAGAAAGTAAGCAATCTGTTATTTCAGCTTATGTCTTCCTAAAGCTATAGCCTTGTGCCTTAGACACTGTGAGAGACTGTGTATTTTTTTTTTTTTTTTTTGAGACCGAGTCTCACTCTGTCACCCAGGCTGGAGTGCAGTGGTGTGATCTTGCTCACTGTATCCTCTGCCTCCTGGATTCAAGCGATTCTCCTGCCTCAGAGTAGCTGGGAGTACAGGTGTACACCACCACACCTGGATAATTTTTGTATTTTTAGTGGAGACGGGTTTCACCTTCTTGGTCAGACTGGTCTTGAACTTCTGACCTCGTGATCCACCTGCCTCAGTCTGCTAAAGTACTGGGATTACAGGCAGGAGCCACCGAGCCCAGCTTGTTTATGTATTTTATGTTAGGTTTTTATTTATTATTTATTTATTTATTATTTATTTATTTATTTTTGAGACAGAGTCTCACTCTGTTGCCCAGGCTATTGTCCGGGAGTGCAGTGGCGCAATCTCTGTTGCCCAGGAGTGCAGTGGCGCAAACTCCACTCACTGCAACCTCCGCCTCCCAGGTTCAAGCGATTCTTCTGCCTCTGTCTACCAGGTAGCTGGGACTACAGGCGCCCACCACCATGGCCGACTGCGTCTTTATATATTTCATATCGTTTAATTTCTGACTTTTTAGTAAAAAATATATAAAAGATACTCCACAGGAGTGGCTGGGTGCGGTGGGTCACGCTTGTAATCCCAGCACTTTGGGAGGCCGAGGCGGGCGAATCATAGGGTCAAGAGATCGAGACCATCTTGGCCAACATGGTGAAACCCCATCTCTACTGAAAATACAAAAATTAGCTGGGCGTTGTGGCACCTGCCTGTAGAGTACTAAGGAAGAATAAAAGCTTTTTAAATTCAGCTCGTGACAGAGCAAGACTCCATCTCAAAAAAAAAAAAAAAGATACAGGAGTTAGTGAAATCATCATAAAAGAATCCTTTTTCTTTGACTAGATTTCATTTTCTTTTTTTTTGAGTTGGAGTCTCGCTCTGTCACCCAGGCTGGAGTGCAGTGGCATGACCTTGGCTCACTGTCACCTCCGCCTCCTGGGTTCAAGCAATTCTCCTGCCTCAGCCTCCTGAGTAGCTGGGACTACAGGCACCCGCCACCACGCCCAGCTAATTTTTTGTATTTTCAGTAGAGACGGGGTTTCACCGTGTTAGCCAGGGTGGTCTCGATCTCCTCACCTCGTGATCTGCCTGCCTCAGTCTCCCAAAGTGCTGGGATTACAGGCGTGAGCCTCCGCGCCAGGCCAACTTCATTTTCTTAAATAACTGTTTTGTTGTTTTTCCTTTTTAGAATTTGTTGTCCTCGTTATGGAGAAAGAAGACAAACAGAAAGCGACTGGGGGAAACGCTGTGTGGACAAGTTTGACATTATTGGGATTATTGGAGAAGGAACCTATGGCCAAGTATATAAAGCCAAGGACAAAGACACCGGTAAATATTGCCACAAAATTTTAGATGTCAGAATGTTAACAATTTAGCATTCCTAATATCTTAAGTGGACTTAGCAAAAGTAAATTCTGACGTGTTTTTCTTTTTTTTTTTTTTTTTTTGAGGCGGACTCTTGCTCTGTCCCCCAGGCTGGAGTGCAGTGGTGTGATCTCACTGCAAGCTCCGCCTCCCGGGTTCACGCCATTCTCCTGCCTCAGCCTCCTGAGTAACTGGGATTACAGACCATGTGCAACCACACCTGACTAATTTTTGTTGTTTTTAGTAGAGACAAGGTTTCACTATGTCATCCAGGCTGGTCTTAAACTCCTGACCTCAAGCAGTCTGTCTGCCTCGGCCTCCCAAAGTGCTGGGATTGTAGGTGTGAGCTGGGATTATAGGTGTGAGCGCTGGGCCTTGTTTTATTTTTATTTTTTGATACGGAGTCTTGCACTGTCATCCAGGCTAGAGTGCAGTGGGTCAGTCTCTGCTCACTGGAGGCTCTGCCTCCTGGGTTCAAGTGATACCCCTGCGTCAGCCTCCTGAGTAGCTGACATTATAGGCACATGCTACCAAGCCCAGCTAATTTCTGTATTTTTAGTAGAGATGGAGTTTTACCATGTTGGCCAGGCTTGAACTCCAGGCTGGTCTCAAACTCCTAACCTGAAATGATCCACCCACCTCAGCCTCCCTAAGTGCTGGGATTACAGGCGTGAGCCACCATGCTTGGCCAAATTTTTAGTTCTAATTTTGTCTCCAAAAGTTAATTGAGTAGATCAAAGGTTTCCAAAAGAATACTATAATTATAACTTTTAAAACTCTCCAGCTGAGTGTGGTGACTCATGCCTATAATTTCAGCACTTTGGGAGGCCAGGTGGGCAGATCACAAGGTCAGGAGATTGAGACCATCCTGGCTAACGTGGTGAAACCCCCGTGTCTACTAAAAATAGAAAAAATTAGCCGGGCATGGTGCCACACGCCTGTAGTCCCAGCTACTCAGGAGGCGGAGGCAGGAGAATCACTTGAACCTAGGAGGCGGAGGTTGCAGTGAGCGGAGGTCACGCCACTGCACTGCAGCCTGGGTGACAGAGCAAGACTGTCTCCAAAAAAAAAAAAAAAATCCATATCTTAAGATAAAATTAAAACCAAGAAAGGGAATATAGAATTTCCTTTTTTGTTTTTTTATTGAGAAGGAGTCATCCTGTCACCCAGGGTAGAGTGCAATGATGCGATCTCGGCTCACTGCAACCTCTGCCTCCTGCGTTCAAGCGATTCTCCTGTCTCAGCCTCCCGAGTACCTGGGATTACAGGCGTCCACCACCATGCCCGGCTAATTTTTGTATTTTAGTAGAGACGGGATTTCACCACGTTGGCTAGGCTGGTCTCGAATTCCTGACCTCAGGTGATCCGCCCACCTGCTGGGATTACAGGTGTGAGCCACTGCGCCCAGCCTAGAGTTTACTTTTTAAAGGTGTATAAGTATCTCGTGTGTAAGCATTAAAGTAAGCACTAAGTTTGTCTTCCAGAGCAAGGGCATATATTGCTGGTTCACAATAGTGGCCAAAAATGCTCATTGGTAATAACAGTTTACATTTGTTTCGGCAGGAGAACTAGTGGCTCTGAAGAAGGTGAGACTAGACAATGAGAAAGAGGGCTTCCCAATCACAGCCATTCGTGAAATCAAAATTCTTCGTCAGTTAATCCACCGAAGTGTTGTTAACATGAAGGAAATTGTCACAGATAAACAAGATGCACTGGATTTCAAGAAGGATAAAGGTACCAGCAAAGAATCACATTTTTACAGGGTAGACTGGTTCAATCTTTGCCTTTCTTTTTTCTTTCTTTCTTTCTTATTTATTTATTTATTGTCAGACAGAGTCTCACAGTGTCGCCCAGGCTGGATTGCAGTCGTGCAGTGTTGGCTCACTGCAACCTCTGCCTCTCAGGTTTAAGTGATTCTTGTGCCTCAGCCCCCAAGTAGCAGGGATTACAGGCATGCGCCATCATGCCAGGCTTATTTTTGTATATTTAGTGGAGGGGGGGTTTCACTATGTTGGTCAAGCTGGTCTCAAACTCCTGACCTCAGGTGATCCGCCCACCTTGGCCCCCCAAAGTGCTGGGATTACAGGAGTGAGCTACCATGCCTGGCCTCGTGTGTGTGTGTGTGTGTTTTTTTTTTTTTAATTATAAAATAATAAGTGAATGAATGGATATGATGCATGTATGCCTTTGGTGGAAAAACTGAAAACATAGAAGAAGAAAAAGAAGATGGTAGTAGTTTATCTCCTATTTTCTCCCTATATGCTACCACCATCCATGGGAAACCACTGAAGTATTAATACATTTTGGTATATTTGCTTTTAGTTCTTTTTTTTTTTTTTTTTTTTGAGACAGAGTTTCACTCTCTCACCCAGGCTGGAGTGCATTGGCTCTGTCTTGGCTTACTGCAACCTCCACTTCCCAGGTTCAAGCGATTCTCCTCCCTCAGCCTCAGCCTCAGCCTCCCAGGTAGCTGGGTAGCTGAGATTACAGGCACGTGCCACCACTCCCAGCTAATTTTTATAATTTTAGTAGAGACCAGGTTTCACCATGTTGACCAGGCTGGTCTCGAACTCCCGACCTCAGGCAATCATCCGCCTCTGCCTGCCAAAGAGCCGGGATTACAAGGGTGAGCCACCACACTCAGCCCTGCTTTTAGTACTTTGAAAGCCCTGCTTTTTAGTACTTTATGCCATATCTACTGTATTTATTTTAACAAAGCTAAGATCAAAGGTTATTTAGTGTTGTATAATAACCAATTATTATAAAGGTTATTTAGTGTTGTCATAAGCAATTTCTCGTATCATTAACACATTTTAATGGCTATGCATAAACATGAACCCAAATTTACCGGTCCCTGTTGAGCAATTAGTTGCCAATTTTCAATTAAAAAAAAAATAATAGGCCAGGTGCAGTGACTCACCCCTGTAATCCCAACACTTTGGGAGGCTGAGTCGGGTTGATCACCTGAGGTCAGGAGTTCGAGACCAGCCTGGCCAAGATGGTGAAACCCCATCTCTACTAAAAATACAATATTTAGCTGGGCATGGTGGCAAGCACCTGTAATCTTCAGCTGCTTGGGAGGCTGAGGCAGGAGAATCATTTGAACCCGGTAGGCGGAGGTTGCAGTGAGTCGAGATCACGCCATTGCACTCCAGCCTGGGTGACAAAAGCAAAACTCTGTCTCAAAAAAAAAAACCCCAAAAACATAATAGCAATGCCTTGAGTATCTTTCTGCATAAATCTTTGCATTATGATTTATTTTCATTGTATAACATTTTTGATGTAAGAGTTATTTGGTCAAATAGATTTTCATATTTAATGTCAGATTCCTTTTAAGAAAAATAGTATGTCCAGTGGGTGTCCATCTCAGTGTATCATCCCCAACATTGAGTATATCTCTTTTTTTTTTAATTTTGAGAAGGAGTCTCACTCTGTCGCCCAGGCTCAAGTGCAGTGATGCGGTACAGCGACACAATCTTGGCTCACTGCAACCTCCGCCTCCTGGGTTCAAGTGATTCTCCTGCCTCAGCCTTTGGAGTAGGTGGGATTACAGGCACACGCCACCACTGCCGGCTAATTTTTGTATTTTTATTAGAGACAAGGTTTCGCCATTTGGCTGGGATGGTCTCAAACTCCTGACCCCAGGTGATCGCCCACCTCGGCCTCCCAAAGTGCTGGGATTACAGGCGTGAGCCAGTGTACTCGGCCAAGTATATCTTTTTTAAAAATTGTCATCTGGGTTAGGTGTGGTTGCTCATGCCTATAATCCCAGTACTTTGGGAGGCCAAGGCAGGTGGATCACCTGAAGTCAGGAGTTTGAGACAAGCCTGGCCAACGTGGTGAAACCCCTCTCTACTAAAAATGCAAAAATTCACTGGGCATGGTGCTGGGCACTTTTAATCCCAGCTACTGGGAAGGTTGAGGCAGGAGAATTGCTTGAACCCGGGAGGTAGAGGTTGCAGTGAGCCGAGATAGTGTCGCTGTACTTGAGCCTGGGCAACAGATCAAGACCCTGTCTCCAAAAAAAAAATTGTCATCTGGATAGGTTAAGTATGATATTATTATTTTATATATTATTTTAATTTAATTTTTATTTTTTGAGACAGAGTCTCAGTGTGTCACCCAGGCTGGAGTACAGTGGTGATCATAGCTCATTACATCCTCAACCTCTAGGCTCAAGTGATTCTCCATGCCTCAGCCTCCTGATTAGCTGAGACAACAGGCATGCACCACCACATCCAGCTGATTTTTTATATTTTTAGTAGAAACGGGATCTCTCTATGTTGCCCAGGCAGGTCTCTAACTCCTGGGCTCAAGCGGTCTGCTCACCTTAGCCTCCTAAAGTGCTGGGATTACAGACACCGCACCCAGCCAATGTCACTTTGGATTATATTCCTAATATTTTGGGTTTTCTCTGTGTTACTACTTTTACTTTCTCTCCCTCTCTCTTTCTCTCTTTTTTTGTTTTTTGAGACAGAATCTTGCTCTGTCACCCAAGCTGCAGTTCAGTGACATGATCACAGCTCACGGTAACTGAACTCCTGGGTTCAAGTGATCCTCCTGACTCACCCTCCCAAGTAACTAGGACTAGACAGCACTCCTGGCTGATTTTTAAAAATTTTGGTAGAAACAGGATTTTGCTGTGTTGCCCAGCCTGGTCTGTCTTTTTTTTTTTTTTTTTTTGAGACAGAGTCTTGCCCTGTCGCCCAGGCTGGAGTGCAGTGGCATGATCTCTGCTCACTGCAAGCTCCGCCTCCCAGGTTCACCCCATTCTCCTGCCTCAGCCTCCCGAGTAGCTGGGACTACAGGCGCCCACCACCACGCCTGGCTCATTTTTTTGTATTTTTAGTAGAGACGGGGTTTCACTGTGTCAGCCAGGATGGTCTTGATCTCCTGACCTTGTGATCTTCCCGTCTTGGCCTCCCATAGTGCGGGATTACAGGCGTGAGCCACCGCGCCTGGCCATACTTCTTTTTTTTTCGTTTTTTGTAGACAGAATCTTGCTTTCTCACCCAGGCTAGAGTACATTGGTGCAATCACAGCTTATTGTAGCCTCGAACTCCTGGGCTCATATGATTCTCTTGCTTCGGCCTCCTGAGTGTCTAGGAATACAGGCAAGCACCATCACACCTAGCTAATTTATAAATTTTTTTGTGGAGATGGTGTCTCACTATTTTGCCCAGTCTGGTTTCCAAAGCTCAGGCAATCCTCTCACCTCAGCTCCTCAAAATGTGGGGATTACAGGCGTAAGTCACTGAACACAGCCCCAAATTTAAGGGATTGAATTCGTTGATTCATTTTTCTCTCAATTTTTAAATACTACGATTTTATTTTTTTCCTTTCTTTTTTTTGAGACGGAATCTTGCTCTTTTTGCCCAGGCTGGAGTGCAGTGCCGCTGTCTTGGCTCACTGCAACCTCCGCCTCCCAGGTTCAAGCAATTCTCATGCCTCAGCCTCCCTGAGTAGTTGGAATTACAGGTGCATGCCACCACGCCCAGGTAATTTTTGTATTTTTAGCAGTTAGGGTTTCACCATGTTGGCCAAGCTTGTCTCGAACTCCTGACCTCAAGTGATCTGCCCACCTTGGCCTCCAAAAGTGCCGGGATTACAGGCATGAACCCAGCCTCTTTTTTTTTTTTTTTCTTGAGATGGAGTTTTGCTCTTGTTGCCTGGGCTGAAGTGCAATGGTGCAGTCTTGGCTCACTGCAACCTCTGCCTCCTGGGTTCAAGCGATTCTCCTGCCTTAGCCTCCCGTGTAGCTGGAATTATAGGCGCCTGTCATCATGCCTGGCTAATTTTTGTATTTTTTTTTAGTAGAGATGGGGTTTCACCATGTTGGCCAGGTTGGTCTCGAACTCCTGACCTCAGTCAGTCCTCCTGCCTTGGCCTCCCAAAGTGCTGGAATTATAGGCGTGAGCCACCACGCCCGGCCAGTACTATGAATTTCACTAATAATTTATAACACATTTATTATGCTGTCCCTGGCATATTGAGTCCTGTTAACGTGTATAAAAACCTTTACAAAATAGTCATCAATAATATGTAACTAATGGGCATGGTTGTGTTACAAATGCAACTTCATTTACAGCAACAAGCAGCAGGCTGGCTCTGGTCTAAGGTCTGTAATTTGCTAACTGACTTAGGTCATTAAAGTCTAATAAGACAGGCTGAGCACAGTGGTTTATGCCTCTAACCTCAGCACTTTGGGATGTTGGGATGGAAGGATTGCCTGAGCCGAAGAGTTAGAGACCAACCTGGGTACCATAGCAAGACCCTGTCTCTACAAAAAGTGAAAAACATTAACTGGGTGTGGCAGCGTGTGCCTGTATTCCCAGCTACATGAGAGGCTGAGGTGGAAGATTTGCTTCAGCCCAGGAGTTTGAGGCTGTAGTGAGCCTGATCATGCCACTGCGCTCCATCCTGGGCAACAGAATGAGACTCTGTCTCAAAAAAAGATAGAAAAAGGCTGAGTGTGGTGGCTTACGCCTGTAATCCAAACACTTTGGGAAGCCCAGGTGGGCGGATCACCTGAGGTCGAGAGTTTGAGACCAGCCTGACCAACATGGTGAAATCTCGTCTCTACTCAAAATATAAAAATTAACCGGGACTTGTTGGCGCATGCTTGTAATCCCAGCTACACGGGAAGCTGAGGTAGGAGAATGGCTTGAACCCAGGAGACGGAGGTTGCAGTGAGCTGAGATAGTGCCACCGCACTCCAGCATGGGTGGCAGAGTGAGAGTCTGTCTTAAAAAAACAGCCTAGTAGCCGGGCACGGTGGCTCAAGCCTGTAATCCCAGCACTTTGGGAGGCCGAGGCGGGTGGATCACGAGGTCAGGAGATCGAGACCATCTTGGCTAACATGGTGAAACCCCGTCTCTACTAAAAATACAAAAAACTAGCCGGGCGTGGTGGCGGGCGCCTGTAGTCCCAGCTACTCGGAGGCTGAGGCGGAGAATGGCGTGAACCCGGGAGGCGGGAGCTTGCAGTGAGCCGAGATCGGCGCCACTGCACTCCAGCCTGGGCGGACACAGCGAGACTCCGTCTCAAAAAAAAAAAAAACAAAAACAAACAAAACAAAAAAAAACACCTAGTAATGCAACCCGATCAGGACAGTTGCCCCCACGGAGAGGTGAGTAGTCCATAGGAGTACTAGACTAGGAATCAGAAGATTAATTCCTTTTTTTTTTTGAGAAGGAGTCTGGCTCTGTCGCCCAGGCTGGAGTGCAGTGGCGCGATCTCGGCTCACTGGCAAGCTCCGCCTCCCAGCGTTCCCACCATTCTCCTGCCTCGGCCTCCGAAGTAGCTGGGACTGAAGGTGAGCCGCCACCCACGCCTGGCTTATTTTTCGTTTTTTTAGTAGGAGATGGGGTTTCACTGTGTTAGCCAGCGATGGTCTTGATCTCCTGACCTCGTGATCCGCCCATGGCTCGGCCTCCCCAAGTGCTGGGATTACAGGTGTGAGCCACCACAGCCCGGCTTTTTTTTTTTTTTTTTTTTTTTTTTGAGAAGGACCGTTTGCTTTGTTACCCAGGCTGGATATGCAGTGGCACAATCTAGCTCACTGCAACCTCCGCCTCTGGTTCAAGTGATTCTCACCGCCTCAGCCTCTCCAAGTAGCTGGGATAATAGGCCGGTGCACCCATGCCAACCTAATTTTGTCATTTTTTTTTTTGGTCGAAATGGCGGTTTCACCATGTTGGGCAGGCTGGTGTGTGAACTCATGACCTTCAAGTGACCCGCCGCCTCGGCTCCAAAGTGCTGGGAGCATTACAAGGCCAGTCTGGCACACCGCGCCCAGCCACAGGGAAGATAATTCAAATGTTAGCTTCGTTGACTTATCATGTAGGAAGGGCTAGATTAGTTCAACTAGCTCCTTAGTTTCAGTTTCTTCATCTATAAAATTCAAGGGTTTTTTCCTAAGACAGGTCTATGGTCAACTCCAAAATTATATTTAGGATTGAGGCATTGTTACTTCAGCATCTTTTTTTTTCTTGTTTTTAATTTTTTTCATCTTTGTAGGTGCCTTTTACCTTGGTATTTGAGTATATGGACCATGAACTTAATGGGACTGCTAGAATCTGGTTTGGTGCACTTTTCTGAAGACCATATCAAGGTCGTTCATGAAACAGCTTAAGGAAGGATTGGATTACTTGTCACAAAAAAGAATTTCTCTGGCATCGGATATTAAGTGTTCTAACATTTTTGCTGAATAACAGGTAACATAGTAACCAATAAGATTAAATTCTTTCCTCTTCTCCTCTGACCTTTTTATTTCAAATGTTAATGGGTATTATAATTAGACCTAATGTGCCAGTATTCGCACCACACATTGGAGTTTTTAGTGATATTCCCTATGTTCAGTGTGGGAGAAACATGCCTGCTCCTTCAGTTGTTCTTCGAGCCTTTTCTCAGCTTACCATGCTTTCTGAGTAGACATTGATGTGCAGTTGTGATTGCCTTTCTCGCAGTCTTACTCATAGTTTTTAATTAGTGTAAACAAGACAGGAATCTTGAAAACAGTGTGAATTCATCAGAAGATTTTTTATTATCGCTCTGTCTTCTGTTTATTGCCTATACTTCATTGTACTAGCAAGTATTATGGCATAGTAGGGTTTTTTTTTT